TACCTTATCTATCCTGCAGTCCACATAGCAGCATTTGTTACCTCCAGCTATAAGCTCAAGACGAACGGGCGTCTGAGACTGTCAGGGCACAAAAAAGAAGCGTCAGAATAATGAATGGCGAAGACAGTGAGCTCGATGCGGACGTTCGTAACCATAAATAAAGAAAAAAAAAAAAGGACGTAATGAGAACGAAGATTCACGTCAAAGCCTTGTCTGATACAGTTAACACCCATCACCGACGGTGACTTCGAACTGCATGTCATATTTATCCCACTCACTAGTGCATCGATCCTCACCTTTATCTGGAGGAAAATACGCTCCTCTTGTCTCCTCTGGTCATACGTCGTTGTTGTCGTGGCCTCGTTCCTCTCCGGGAGGACATGAGTTTCTTTAGCTGCTGCATGCATGCCCCTTCCGGTAGTATCAGGAACACGATAGGCAATGTATAAGCGAAGAATAAAATCAGAAACAATGGAAGCATATGCAAACTTAAAATGACCAAACTGAAATAGGACACAAACAACAAGGGAGCACATCATAAGCTCCAACATCAAAATTAACTTAAAACACTTTATCTAGAAAAGAAGTATACCAAACACCTCAGTTATGATTATTCGTTTTCATCTTCTTACCATCTCTACCTGTCTTGATTTTAGTTATCTGCTGTTGTTATAATCCAGTAATGTTGATTCATCACTAATATCCTAAAGAAAAGCCAACATGTCTTATTGTTTGAAACACCACAATGCCTTGCAAGCAAACAGAGAGAACCATGTCAAACAGATGTTTCTGAAAATAATTTGTATAACAGTTTTGTGTTGCATGGAGGATTCTGACAAGCTCTCTGCCGAAATCAATTTTGGTGCTAGCATAAACCCAATACAAGAGTTAAAGGAGGATCTTAAAGAATAAAGGTAACAGTTAAAAAACCAAATCACAAATTCACTTGACAACATTGCCCTCGTGTTTTAGCAGCCAAGAGCAAATGCGGCGATATGTTATTTCCTTACATAAAGGGTCTCTTTTCTACCAAATGGTTTCAAATAACCAAGGAACACAAAGAGCACAATATTTCCTTGTCAATTAAATTTACATTTAAAATGACCATTTGTATATTTCTTCTTTTGTGAAAAGAAGTGCCTCAGGATAATTTGTGTTGAACCACATGCTAAGCAAGTAGTTGGAGCTATAACATCTAATAGCATCTTCCAAAAAGCATGTAAAAGCTAGGTGGCTGAGTTTTAATAGCCATCAGAAAAAAATATGTAAATGTACTAGTCTAGTCTGATTAGGTGAGAAAAAGATGAAATGCAGTAACTCAGGGAAGAAATCTATATGAAAGAAAATCCAGAACAAAAATTGACTTGGGCATTCCATCTTGATATAACATTGACAAGACGACTTATTTTCCATAGTATAACTCTCCATCATGCAAGTGTTTGAATTCTAACTTCAATGTATAACCAACTCAAATGTCATACACCCAACAGGAAACCTTGGAGGTAAAATGACAGCTTAAAGAAATCCGACCACATCAGATTAGAAATATGCATCTCATCAAGGTGGAAATTAAGAAACAAAGAACAGGGAAAATACTAACAGGAGAATTATTCATTACTCATCTATATTCTGAAACCAGTACAAAGTAAAGATCTGTTTATACTTTGAGCAGACCCACAGGGCATGAAAAACAGATACATGTTCTTTATTATAAAGCTAGCTCCCAATCCCCAACACTTGATTGAAACATGTAAAATTATAACAAGCACCATATAATCTATCAGTAAAGGTAATAATGCACAACAGAAATAACTGCATACCTATTAAAATATTGTCCAAGTCAAGGAAAACCTTTTTGTTAATGAAAGTAAGACTGGCATATATATCACATCAGAACGTGACAGATAATCCATAAGGCTCCTTGTCTAAACTAAAGCTCATAGTATCAAGATTAGCCAAGGGATTTGAGAGAGACGAACCTAAAGGTGTCAAATAGATGGAAAAGGAATCATATTATACGTAATAGGAAAAAAAAATCTTTAAGCTCATATTTTTAATTTTTGTGGTTTATTTTTTATTTTAGAAATTCTTAGCACGCCACTTCATTGAAAAACTAAATTATTCTTATACTTCACTAATTATTACACTGTAACATGCTCATCTTATAACCACCATTATATGCCTCATAATTTGAGTGCTCTTAGCACATGGGGCATCTCAAGAAAAACCTAACTTTTAATAAATGTCTCATTTTTTTGTGATATGTGAAAATATGATTCATTATTGCAGCTAGAACAGAAAGCTCCTTCCTGCCCATATATTTGCAAACTTACATTCTCTTCCCACATACTTCTCTCCTCTCTGTTCGTTTCTCAACTTTCTCACCTTATACTCTACTGTATTGCAATAGACTATATTATACACTGTAATAGAATAGAATAGTACAATATGGTGAATTGTACACTCTAAAGTATAGTCTACATTTTATTAATATTACATTCTACACACTAAATTCATTTTTTTTTCATACTATAATAAGACTATGATGCTCATATTGGCATATTATTCCACCATACTCACATCGATGAATGACAGATTCTAGTATGGGTTGTCTCCAACTCAACCAAAAATTGTCTGCACTCTGTTAGTCTAGGCTAAATTAGATTCTTCTATATCATTGACTACCGTTGATGAATGACAGATTCTGGTATGGGTTGTCTCCAACTTGACCCAAAATCATCTGTGCTCAGCGATCCTAGGGTAAATCAGATTATTCTATCTAATCGGTTACTGAATAAGAGAAAAAAAAAACAGAAAGCAGCTATCATTGGTTGCATCATTCCTCTAACAAGAAGAGAACAACATAAGAAGGGCAAGAGAGATGATTGAAGGGGAAGAGGAAGATAAATGGTGCCCTGCTCTCGGAGCCAATTGGAAGGACCTTTTAATCAATATACAGAATATATAGATCATTTCAATTTCTGTCCATCACTGCTAAGTGACAAATAGAGAAATAATTCTGGGATTTAACATCATGCCCTCTGGTAACCTACCCCCTTGAAGCAGATCCCATGGTGTGAAGGAAACAGAAGCATAAGAGGAGACGATAAATACAAGATAATAAAGTACCAAGGAGAAAAGATATGATAAAAAGAAAGAAAATAGTTTTAATATAGTAATAACTATTTTTACAATTAGTTTTATTTTATTTTAAAATACATAATGTACTTTCAAAGTTAAATTTTAAAAGTATATAAAAAGTTGTTCTGACCCATTTTAGATCAAATCCCCATTCCTGTATATCAAATGCTGGACCATAGCTAGTACAACAACCATGCAGAACAATTAGTTCCCTATCACATTCAATACACCACACCCAAATTTGAGCAACAAAGACATATGATACAATATAAAAGAGTTTAATATAAAATAATATGGTCTATGCATATAGACCATAGTAGGCACAGGAACGTGCAGGCAGGCCAAGGAACCTGAACATTTGAATCAAACTTACGTATTTAATTCAAAATGATATGACTCAGCTCTTATAGATAACAGTTTAAATTAGGATGCTTGAATTAATAATTGTCTTAATCAGAACTTAAATCAAATACTTGAGATTAATTAAAGCCTTTCATCTTTTCCAATGCCATAAGCTGTGATACCCTGACAGCCAATTGACTTTTCGTGCTGCCTCTTTCCCATGACTCTAAAATTCTGACAGCTAATTCAACTTTTATACATCACTAGCATCTAGAAACACCACAGATGAAGCACCAGAAATATTCAATTTTCAATTCCATCTTGAATCCCATGATCTTGCTCTAGCCACATCAACTTCTCACCATCAGATATTGTCATGACTCTAGTTTCCAAATGTAGCTATGTCAACTGTGATGTCAGTCTCACTTGTGAGCTTGGAAACAGAGACATTTCAATCAAACTTCAAGAAATGGAACCTAAACAGTTTCGTTTCAGTGTTCTTCAATGCCCATTTTCTAACTCTGGAGTAACAGCATGTGAATGAAAATAAACTGCATGCTATTGATGCTTATCAAATTAAAATAATCTTCACAGCATAAATCATTAATCCAGAATAAATTGCAATTCTATTGTGCAATGCAATATTCAAATGCTAAAAGACATTAATACAGAGGTCATAGCTAAGAGAAAACAATTATTTAGCAGAAAGCATTGATATGAAGTCAAACAAGGATTATAATAAAATCAACAGTGCAAGAGATCTACCTTAAAGCATAATGATGTAGGGATTAGGGAAAGCATGCTGAGCATCCACGAAGCAATCATTCATCAATGTACATGGTCAAAGACTGAAGGAGGATATGTTGAATTGACAATGATCAAACACCAGCAACTAACAGAAAACAAAGCTGTAAGTTTGATCAAATGTTAAATCAAACATTCACTAGAGATCTATTTAACTAATTCAGAATTCACATGCTTAAAAGAACCAAGTGACTCCTGAGGTAGAAACCTTTTGTGACACTACAGAAATTTTACTCCATAAGCAGGTACCTAAGTACAACATGTCCAAAATGCAGTATATATCATAGCATGGTGAAGCATAAAATTAAACAGCAGTAACTTAGTCTGCAGATCACATCTCAGAGAAGATGTGATTACTCATCAAGCTCCAACCAAAACAAGCTACCATAATCCTCAAATCCAAACTGACAATCCATAATAAAAAGATAGAATCCAGACTAAGTTCCAAGAAGAGGACAACATCAAAATAGAAGTATAAGGTCCAAAATACATACATCCATAATCAGAGAGAAAAATAAATAGAAATAGTCACCATATTCAAACAACTGCTGAATTGGAAGCCTTTCGCGATATCCAGCACCAATAGACACTAAAACCCATGTAAATTGGTCATCAAGCTCCAATCAAAACAAGCTACCGTAGCCCACAAATCTGAGCTGACAGTCCATAATAGAAAGATAAATTTTGAACAGCATTGACTGTTACACAGAACATGGCGACTAAATTCCAAAGAGTGGAGAAACATCAACATAAAAGATAAGGTCCAAAATCCATACATCCATAATCAATGAGAAAACTAAATAAAACTAGTCGCAGGACTCAAGCAACCATTGCATTGGAAGCCTTTCTCAATATCCAGAGCTGATAGACATTGAAAACCCAGGTGATCTCTAAATGACATGAATAACCACGGTCTCAGTATGAAACTAGAACAGAGGGAACACCAATCAGCGAGACAATCCAACAACAAGAAACAAAAATTAACAGAATAGATTAGTGCTTTAGACCAAAAATTTCTGAAATATTGGTCTATTGCATATATTATATACCTAAAGTGGTCCATATCCACCCATTGGTCCGGTTGGTGGCCTCGAGATTGGACCTTGCCCTGTTGGAGCTCCTTGATAAGAACTGGCACCTCCACCTCCTTGTTGAGCAACTGACTGAGCTCCCTGGAAACCTGGAGGGCCCTGCAACCCTGGTGAACCTTGAAAACCTGTAGGTGCATGATACCCTGGAGGTCCTTGATATGCAGCATTTCCCATTCCGTAGGTTGGCACCTGTGCTACCTGAGGACCGGTTGGAGCAGTTACAGCTTGCTGACTCCCTGCTGCACCAAATGCAGCTGCAAAAGCAGGGTTCAAAGAAGTAATCATGGCCGGCGTGATCCCAAAAGCTGCAGGATTTTGCCCAGCTGCTGCCAGTAGAGCCAGCACCGCAGCATTTTGTTGCATCCCCTGACCAAAGGCTTGTGTACCGCCCATGCCAAGGAGACCCTGTCCTAACATCGCAGCTTGTTGTGCTAACCCCATATCTGGGGTCCCTGCATAACCAGACCCATTGAGAGTCCCTGTGCTGGAAACCACATTTGGCGGAGCAGCAGGAGTTTGAATGGGCGCCGCCTTACTCTTGTTATCAGTGGCTCGCTGACAGTAGAGCAGGTGACCCTCAAAATTCTTGTTTGGCTCCTCGAGGGCCCTTAGAGCGCCCTCCACGGTCTTGTAGACAAAGAGGGCGTACCCTTTTGGCTTCCCCGTGTGACGATCAAAGCCAATGGGCCCCTCCTCAATCTCGCCGTACTGGGAAAAGAAGGCAAGGAGGCGGCCACCGTCAACGTCAGAATGAACGTTCCCCACGTATATCTTCCTCGAGACGTTGTCCTGATGAGAGGCGGGGCCAGGGCTACGGTTAGGGTTTTGGTGGTGGTGCGGACCCGGGTTGTGGTGGTGGACGGAGGGGGCGGAGGGGCCGGAGGAGGCCAGTTGGCAGGAGGTCATGCGATTCTCGATGACCTTCTGGGGGCAGCGGAGGGCACGTCGGGCAGAGCTGCGGTGGCGGAAGAGGACGAAGCCGTAGCCCTTGGATCGGCCGCTTGCCTTGTCGACGATGACGCGGCAGTCGTCAATGTCGCCGTAGCTGGCGAAAGCGGCACGGAGGCCCTCCGCGGTAGTGTCCCAGCCGAGGCCGTGGACGAAGAGCTTGCGGTGGGCGGGGTCGAGATCGGCGACGCGGCGGATCTCCGCGAGGGTGGCAGGATTGGAGGCGGCAGCGGTGCGGAGGAGGCCGACGAGCTGGTCCCTCGACAGCGGCTCCAGGAGCGTCCCCACGTCATCATCGTCGTCCTCGCCACCGTCGTCGTCGTCAGAGCCCGGGGCCGGAGTGTAGACGACGGGCTGGTGGTGGGCCTGGGAGAGAGGATCGGCGGCGTGGTTTAGGGCGCCGGATAGAAGCTCATCCTCTTGGTCGACCTTCCTCTTCTTGGTAGCCATGGATGCCGACGGCACGGTTGCTCTGGGTTTGGTTCGCTTTTTAGGGTTTTAGAATCCAACTCTCTTGTGGGTTATTTGCCTCCTCTTTGGGCCTTCTTGGGGACGGAGGCCCTTTGTTGGAGTCTTATAGGGTCCCGTGCAACAGCACAAAATTAATTTCCGTTTGACAATTTTATTTTATTTTTGTTTCTGAAAACTTGAAAAAATGGGAATCAATTGCAGAAAAAAATGTTTTGGAAATTTGCTTTTATTTTTTCTTTATCTGAAGTATTTCTACGTTCCTGAAACTTTTAGAAGCAATTCCAGTGAACTTTTCACTAGTTATATGACCGAGGTGTAATTTTAACATGGCTTATGTTTTAATATTTTCAAAAATTAGAAATACAAAATGATTTTTGCACTCTATATTTGTTTTTTCTATTTATAAAAAGTTTGTTTAGTGTTCATCTTTTATAATTTTTGCATTCTAAAATTAGGAAGCTTTTGGATTAAGGCAAACTCAAAAATGGTTGAGTTCCCACCACTCTATACAAGTACTTTATGAAAACAATTAACAAATATCAAAATTACCAACATGCTTTTTTTTTCTCAATAAATATAAGTTTTTTTATACTTTTGGAGTTAAAGAAAACATAAGACATGAATATTAATAAATAATAAGATTTATCGTATCGTAACGTATCATTTGATACGTACAGTATGTATCAATCTAACAAGAGATCGACGTAGGTGATACATCAATATACATCATATATCATGTGTTCATATTCGGTATAGCTTGGTATAATTCGGTATATATCATATCAATAATTAATCAATATATCAGTACAAATCGGTAAAAAGAATAATGTTAAAAATATAATTTTTTTAAAAAAAATAAAAAACTAATAATATTATTATTATTATTTATTTTTAACAACAAATAAAGACATGCAAAATAATCTTTGTGTACTTGGAAATTATTTCATGCCTTGGGGTTAGATCCTTTACATTGCTTGAGATTTTCTTACAAAGAAAATTAGCATCGAAATTTGTAAAATTGAAAAGTTTGTTTTTGAGATAAGTTATCATTCTATATAATCCAGAAGATAAACATCATTTTATAAAGGAGAATGCTTATTTAGAAATACGAGAATCTATTATCAGCAAACATGTGATTGCCACATCACTCTCAATCTGGATGAAGATTAAAAATAAGACACAAGTTTTCTTCTCATCCATTACGACAAGAAAAAGACAATTACAAACTTTTTTTTCATCCTTTATGACAAAAAAAGATAATTACAAACTTTCTTCTCTCCCTTTATTATAAGAAAAACAATCGTAAACTCCCTTCTCTTATTTTATTTTATGACACATTGTAAACTTCCTTCCTCTTTTTTACTGTATAAAAATACATCCTAAACAAGAAAATAAAATATGACTCTCTCCTTCCTTGAACTACTCGAGCTTATATTTAGGAACATCATATTATTAACTTGAGTATCAAAGGGATTGGACTAAAAAACCTCTCCCAACTCTGGTATTCATGCAAGTGCCATCTTAGGAGCACAATACTTTCATCTCGGGAGCTCGACACCTCCACTTTAAAGCCACCTCAAATTCACCTTAGAGCTACCTCGAAGCCACTTTAGTCAATCATATGCATATAGGTCTGAATTACGTCAAGCTGACCAAGATGTCAATAATATTTTTTTCTAACAATTTGACGCTAGAAGGATGGCTCGATGTTGTAGAAACATCTATCTACCAAATCTCTCAACAAATACTCTAGTGAGGAGGCTTCACCTCCAACCCATAATACTTTTATTCAGGAGGGCAATTGTCATCATTCCCATATGAGGATACATCCACCTCAGCACAAACACCAATGAAACACTAGTATTTGTTTAACGACCCAGGTCCTTTACCCCCAAAGGATGAACTCGAGCCGCCTACTTGTTCCCACAAAGGTGTTCTTGAACTTTGCCCACTAAGGTGTTCTTACTAGTCATAGGTGCTTTGCAAGCTAATAGCAAGCTAATCACGTGAGTGATAACACGAATGACATGATACATATTCTTTTTTCTTATTAAATTATTTGATATTTTATCACTTTATATTGTTTGTTGTATATATGCATATGTATATTGTGATGTACATGGATTTATGTAATGGGAATCGGATTGTAATGAGATCACGATAATGAGACCAATTTACCTTTAAATACAAACCCTAAATAATCCTAGTCATATATTACTTGAGAGGGACATTGAGATAACCGAATAGACTGATGTGTTGTATACCGGTACATATGATGGAGGTAGCTAGTCTCATAGCTATTCATGTGGGGACACAGGGCTATAGTGTATGTGCTCATTGGAGAATGAGTTCACTAATTGATCCATTCACAGAATATTAGATGGTTAATAATACCTCATTATCAATCAGCGATTCCATTGTCATAGTGGTATACTTGGTCCTTAGACTTGAGACACCGAGGATATTCTATATGAGTACTCCACTCTTTGATATTAGACTTATAGGTTTGGAAGTTATAGATCTAGCACAGCCGGTCATCGGGAGTGGTAGTCAATCTTACAAGAATTATTGAGTGTCGATAGAGGATCATCTGCTCTCGGTGTCATAAGAGAAATATCCTCTATGTTCTTCCTCAAACGAATCCCTAGCTAGAGTTATTCAGATTGAGAGAGAAAGAATTCTCTAGGAGAATCCGATTAGAGCAAGACTCGAGTAGAAACCGTACGGGTTTGACAACACCATGTCTGGTATACGGTCTTTGGGATATTAGATGAATGAGGGACTATAGGCATGTGGTAACTGAGGACATATTGGACCAAAGGATTGGATTCCCTTGTATCGTTTCGGGGTTGCGGCATAGTGGCCTAGTACGTTCGTAATCGATGAGTCGAGTGAGTTATTATAAAGATAATAATTCAGTGAGCTAGAAGGAGTTCTGACAGGTATAACTTATGGCTAGCTCGATATTGGGCCTAGAGGGTCACACATATATGGTAGGCATTGCGACAAGTAGAGGTTCGGATATGAGATATCCACCGGAGCCCCTATCTTATTGGATATCCAATAAGCCTCTGGATTATTTGATCCTATAGATGAGATCAAATAAGAGCTAATTAAAGATTATTAGATAGAGATCCACTAATTTAAGAGGCTTGGGTAGTTGGATGAAGATTCAATACCCAATAGGATAGGATCCATTAGGGTTAAGTTGATAGGGGGCCTTTATAAGTAGGAAAAAACCAAAGGCCCATAGGCTAGAGACTTCTTGGTTGTCACCTCCTATTCTCCTCTTCCCTTCTCCTCCTCAGATAGTAGGTGCAGAGATTTGTACAACGATTTGAGGAGCGTCATTACAGCCCTACTCTGTGGATCATCGCTAGAGAGGAGGGCACTTGACCTACTTCATCATCTCCTACAAATCTATAGTGATTCAGGGATACACAATCTCCCTAAGTAAAACACAACTATCTCATATGTGAATTTAAGTTTCGTGGGTTTTGCACACCAATCTACACACGATGACAAACACCTTTTTGAAAAATTTGAGGTTTTTATTTTTTATTCTTTCGCTGCGTATGTGATGTTGCTCTTAGATTTCCTTATAATGGTATCAGAGCCAAGTTGTTCGTGCGAAAGATTGGTTTTGAACGTATATGTTTTATTTTAGAAAAGCTTTTGACATCAAAATCATTGACAAAAAAGATGAGAAAGGGCAGCAACTGTTGCTACTCCCACAAGTTGGCCAAAGGCTGCTTGCAGCCTTAGCTGAGAGCTCCAAGGGAGGTCTCACCCATCTACAATAGGCCACCTACATGTAGGGGCCGCAAGCGGCCGGCGGGTGACAGTCGTCAGCTCATAAGTAGGGCCGCTTGCATGTGGGCATTGCGCTTGCCTACAAGGGTGGCGCATGCGGGTGCTGGGCCCTCAGGCGAGCCACCTCACGGGCGGTGCTCGCTTGTAGAGGCAACACCCACCGCCCAAGGGTGAGCCCTCGCGGGGGCGCCTACGTGCGCGCGCCTATGGGGGGTTCGCTTGTTGGGGCGACGTCGGGTCATTGCGGGCGCCGCTTCGGGCACTATCGCCGAAGGGGCGGCGCTTGCCCATGGACAAAGGGGGCACTTGCCTACTGCGATGGCATCGCCCGTAGGCATACTACTCACGGGCAAGCTGCCCGGGGGCAAAGGCGACGGCGTCCACCACACCCCCAACCCCCCCCCCCCCCCCCCC